GGATATGGATCGTGACCCTTCCAAATATCCGATAAACATTGAGTTCACAAATGTAGAAATGGAGAAACAACATTTCATGGTACCGAGTGGTGTACAGTATAATGAACATGAATTTTCATTACTACAAATGTCATCATATATATGTGGAGCAATAAAACAACCAGCAAGTGACAGTTTCGAACATAAGGTCATGGTTGTATCGGTCACAGATGGTAGGAATGTAGAGAAATGAAGGGTTTTCCGTAACAAGGAGGTTTTAAAGTTGAACTTATCCTTTTATGCAATCCAGAATATGCGGTTGTTTGATCAGACAAGAAAAACCACCTTGTAAAGTGTTTACGTGATAAGTGTAATTGGATCTATAGATCATCGAAGTTGGGAAAAATAGATATGTTTAAAATAAGACATATTGCAGAAGGAGACACATGTGCTTCAAATATTGTGCCGGGTTCTCATAGATAAGTAACAAAGTCAATTATGTCATCATATATTAAATAAAGTACACATAGTCATGCACTATATACACTCCAAATGATATACGTAATGATATGTTGCATACTTATGGAGTGTCTTTGAACTATGTGAAGGCTTGAAGATCTTGCGATGAGACATTAAGAATGATTAGGGGTGATCCAACGGAATCATTTGGTTAGATACCGAGATTCTTTTCTATGATGCATCAAACAAATCTAGGACGGTCACAGGAATAAATCTTGATAGTCACGGTAGGTTTAAATATTGCTTCACAGCACTTGGTGCATTAATCCATGGATGAGAACATTGTAGGCCTGTTGTTGTGGTTGATGGGGCATATTTGAATGGACATTATGGTAGGACCCTATTCCTAGCTTGTACCTAGGATGCAAAGAACATCATATTTATTCTTGCTTTTGGCATCGAGGATAATGAAAATGATAGTTCCTAGTCATAGTTTCTACAAGAACTGAAGTGAGCTTATGGAAATAGAGAAGGACTGTGCTTCGTGTCGGATCGTCACAGCAATATTAAAAATGCCATTGAAAAAGTGTATCCAGGAACATATCATGGGATTTGTTCATATCATCTCCTATAAAATCTAAAAACACGTTATGGAAAACTAAGTCACAACATAGCGCAATCATTCAATGCAGCCGTTCGCGTTTACACCTTATCGGAATACGAATATCACATGCAACAACTTGCTGCAATTAATGAGAACATAGCGGAATACCAAGTATGTGAAATACATATTATGTGCAATCTATATTCGTATCCAAACATTTTACACATTTGTAAAAATATATTATATGTATTGTCGTGTCTTTGTTTGTAGGATGGTGTTAGACCAGAGAAATGGTCACGATTCCACGTACCTACAAATTGGTATTTCACAATGACCTCAAATATAGTAGAGTCGGTTAATGTGGTCACAAAGTCTGTCAAGAACTACCCAATTATAGTGTTGCTATACTCATTGCGAGAAATGATACAGTCTTAGTTCTGCAAACATAGGGAGACTGTGCAAGGCACGTTCACAATGTTTTCAAGCAAGTACGAGAGACAGTTAAGAGAAATGAGCAGAGATATGAGAAACTTAAGGATAATGTCAAATGCTATAACTACTCTTCATTCTATGACTTTTGAATTACGTATTGCATGACAGCTTAAATTGACTGTGACCTTTGTCAAATATGAAATTTTGCATATATAACTTTCTTAATTAATTGCAAGTCACTCCTGTGAATTAAGCAATGTTTTCCATTAGTGGTGACAATTTATCTTTTGTTGTCAATATAGAACAGTGTACATATGCATGTAGGATGCTTCAAGTTGATCAACTACCGTGTCCAGACTCATTGGCCGTGATTGCCAGTATGAAGATGGATCCATATGAGTACTGTTCCTCATATTACACAACAGAAGCATACAAGAATACTTACCAAGAAACAATAGTTCGTGTTGGAAATTCAACTAAATGGACGGTGCTTGAAGATTTTTGAGACATAGTTATGTTGGCACCAAATCAAAAGTATAGTTGTGGAAGGCCTATCGAGACGAGATATAGATCAGCATGTGAATAGACCATAGTTATCAAATGTGGACGTTGTGCTAAAAGTGGTCATAACCGCAGCACTTGCAGCATAAGTTAGAGTCAAACAAAAAGTAGAGAAAGGAAAAAAAGGTAATTGATGTTACAAATTGAACTCTATGCCATGATTTATTAATATTTTCAATCATCGTTCTTGCCTATTTGACAGGCATAATCAAATTCCTTCAATCTAGCATAGATGGAAATAAAAAGGTTATTCTTTTACATCTCGTATGCAATGGTGTGATCAATATTGATTGGTTGGTGACAAAGTTGGTGTGGTGTTTTGACATACACCTATATCGTGTGACAAGTGAAAAATTGTACGTGACAAGCTATGTGTGAAATTCACAAACATATGTGACCTCTCTTGCAGACACCTAAAGTAATATGCGACTTCGACAAACCAATCAGTGACTTCTCGTTAAGGGACATGACAATGTAATGTGACATACGTGAAAACTCTATGACATGTGTTGTGACACTCTACAGATATGACTAAATGACAAACATGATACTGCAATGTTGTGACCATGTAAACAAACATTTGTGACCTATCTTGTTCTCGCACACATTATCCAGTGACTTTTTACAACAAAAATGTGACCTGTGAAATAAACGAATTTAGAACACATCTGTGACTTGACCAAGGAACATGTATAGTAGCATGTGAAAATGTGATACCATCTGTGACTTGTGAAGCAACAATGTACAAAAACTTTCAACAATGTAAGACTCATTTGTGAATTGAGCTGTGACAGTGTCGACTCACCTGTGACAATTTAAAAACATCTGTGACCTTTACTTTAACAATACACACATATCAGAACTATTATAATCTAGTAATATATATTCAAAAGCAATCAATCTCATTACTGCAAATTAATTGAACAGTACCAAAAGCCAAGAAAACGTAGTCATTACAAACCATTATCCAAGGA